CAATGAGGAAGGAGCTGTTTGGATTAATCAGCTAAAAAACAGCACAGCATTGTTGCCTTAGTGAGCAGAGCTCCAGCCGGGCATCCCTGAGCACCCCCAAGGGCAGCTGGAGCCCAGCTGCTCCCACCAGCTCTCTTGGGTCAGAGCTGCTGCAGAGTCATGTGCCCCAGGCTGCATCAGGAGAAGATACAGTTTTGGACTCAGAACACAAGCCCAAAGAACAAAGAGCACTAATAAGGCCAGTGCCACAAGCGATGCATACAGCTGGGATCACCCCAGGCCTGAGCCTGAGCGAGCCATGGAACAGACACTGTTGTAAAGATGGGGGATACAGAGCCAGCGGATCTGTACGCGGGTGCCCTGTGGCAGAAGGCACGTCCTGGACGAGTCCCCCACTGCAGGTGACCAGAGACAGCTCTTTGAGTCTCATCCAAAAAATAAGTCAGGCACTACTGAGAAACCCAGGTCTCCTTGTGTCACTGAAACCCAACACCATTTTTATCTTGGTCTACCAAGAATTAATAGGAAGCTTCTTCTGCTTCATCAGCAGGGAAATAATTTTGCCTGAAGCTGCCGCCAGGGCGCTTGTGCCAGCCAAAAAAGAAAGACATGGGTTTCCTGCAGGGGCACCGTCCTTATCATCTAACTTGACAAGCCAGCTGTGTTCAGAGCAGACTGGTCTCAGGGGAGTGGCATAGGTCAGTTGTAAAGACCATTTTTATTCTTCACACAGAGAAGCAGCTAAATCAGAACTGTATTAGTCAGACACTTGTCTGACTGACAACCCAATTCCTTTGGCTGTTTTCTGATCTTTCAATTCAACCTTACCAATTCACAGAACAAAATGCTACATACATATTCTTTTCCTGCAGCATTTCTGTAGTCTTTCCAGTCGTAAACTGCAACAGCCTAGGAGCCATGGCCAGGCACACAACCCAAGAACCTAGTGCCCCTTGATCCTAAGGCTGATGCAGAAGGAGTGAGACAAAGAGAGTTCCACTAACTCTTTGAGGTAAAGGCCTTCTGCACAGCTCACAGTGATTGTAGTGACTCAGGCTTTGCTGACCCCTGGTAAGAGAAAGAGTTGTGCCTCTAGCTCTCCTTTGTCCTGTCCTTTGCAGGAAAAGAGACACTAGAAATAGGCTTTCTGCAGAACTCAGGTCCAGGGAAAGAAGGGCATCTTCAGTTGGGTCCTGAAGATTCCTTACAACTGCTTGTGTGGTCAGACACCCAGAAAAATTAGTGTGTTGAAGAATATCTCTGGTTTTATTCCTCAACACTAAATGGGAAAGAGTATTTTTTCCATTTCATGCACAAGACTTGCATTCTGAGCATTCCTTCAATAACATTCAGTCATAGTTTGACAATTATTTAAATTACTATCTTATTGTTTTAACTACTGTGGTGTAAAGAGCTGGAAATATGCATCAGACTCAGTTCCAACTTAAAAGTTAAATTTGCAAGAGGCAGCTGTTGCTGTGGGAGGAATAACTCAAGACCAAAGCAGAATATGACTGCGAAGATGTCCTTCCATTTTATCTGATAACATATAGGAAAAAGTCATTATTTGCTCTGTCTGAGCCCACAGCCATTCAGAGACCAGAATCACTGGCCATTCTTTAGGCTGGGAAATCCAGCTCATCTGTACTCTTATGGGATGACTGGCTGACAAATTTTTTTTATTTGCTGGTTTGATTTTATTGTACAATGAGTGATTTTAAATCACCAGATCATAAGGAAAAAAATCCTATGTAGAAGAAAAGGTTTGAAAGAAACCCAGTAGCTCCAAAAAGAAGGGATGACAGCTAAACAGCCAACTAGAGATGGAAAACCCAAACACAGTGATTCAAAAAACAAACCCAAGACCTGTTTTCTGTAGCAGGTAATTAGCAGTAGCCTCAAAAAGGAAAAAAGAGGCATGGTTCTGAAGCAAGGCAATACCACAGCAGGGTCCTTTCAAGATTCCCACCACGTATTTGTGACAAGAGGCCTCCTTTAAGCTCAGGACAGCACTGGGTCTCTAACACATTAAAGCCCATGCGCTGATCTGCATGCTGGATTTCTGAGTGAGTGAGTAAAAGTAATGTGCACTGTCCTGATTCATTCTGCTACTGGGGACACCTTCAGGCTTTGCCCCTGTTGCTTAAGCAGCAATTACATCTCATTACCAGGCACAAGGGAGTTTTGTGATAACTTTCATCATTTCTACACTGTAATACATTGCAGCACTGTACTCTATTCATATGGACTTCTCCAGTGAGATGGCTCCATTTGAGATACTCCCGGACCAGATGATTTTTCTGTAAAGAGCAGCGAGATTATGGCTAATTATTTCCTGCTGTCCTCTCTGTCTTTTTTATTCCATTAAACAAACAGACAGTGTTTGGTATATGAGTAAGAAATGTAGTGTAACAGAAAATATGTTAGAAAGGAAATGATTACTAATCACTGCTTTTTGCCCAATACAGCTAAAATGACCTATTTCCTCAGCTCATCAGCTGAGCAAACTACTGACTTCAAGATGTGAGAAACCATCCTTTTTCTTTGACGGCAAACACAATTTTGTTTCTGTAATGAATCCAAGGAGCAAGTATGACCTGGGCTGAAAGAGAAGCACACAAAAACTAGTCAGTCCAGAAAAAGAAGACATGAATGGGAAGCAGAGAGACAAACCTGAAACATTGTCTAACCTTTTATTAAGTACAATTTTAAAATATGGAACTGAAGAAAGCATCAGTTAGGTTAACACTTGCCCAGGACATTACAGTACATGTGAGGTGGTAAAATGTAAAACTACTCATAAAATAAAATTGTACTGCTTTGAGCAGCAGGAAGATAAAAAGTTAAGCACAGCCCTCAGGTGACCGATCAGATGAAAATGAATTAAAGATGTAAGGGGCATGATTCATTATCTGGTGTAATTAAAAAGTGTTAACTACCTTATGAACACATACAAAACCCCCAAATGGATATACTTCTCTTATACTACATTAAACTCCTTGGGTTTCTCAGTATTTCCAGGACTGAACATGACTTTGGGACAACTAATCACTATGTATTCTTTATAGTTTGCACTATGAGACACACAGTATCCAAATGTTTTGATTAAACAAGCTTTAATTTTGGGGTGGCTTGTTTTTTCCAGGAATTAGAGGAGGCAGTTCTCAAACATCAGCTCATCTGGACTTTTCAAATGGCAAGCTAAAATCATATATTTACAAGTGGCTTTGGGGATTCCCTTTTACTTTTCTCTGACTCAAAAACAGCACTAAATGTTTATTTCCCTTATATAAAGAATCTCTCTACACTGAAACAAGAGGCACACTTTGCAAAGAAAGCATTCTAAAATATGGAGTTTTAAAAAAATATTCTTCCATAATTTCACCTACAAGTTGTTCTCAGACCCATGGCAGGGAGGAACAAGCTCAATGACAATAAAACCTAGTCCTGACAGGAAGGAATTAGTTACTGGCAATACAGTTATCTAAAACCATACACATTCTCAGGAAGAAAGAATATAATAGTGAATTAATGCTTCAATATATATCCAGCCTTGAGTTCAAAAGGCACAAGGCGTGCTTCAAAGAAAAGGACCTGCAACTTACATCTAAGTGTACATAAAGGCTATGCCTAAATTGGCAGGGAATTCAGCTCAGTGCAAGCAAACAAGCAAAACAAGGCAGCCGGTGTAAGGCCTCTGCATCTCTAAGAATTTCTCCTTCAAGTCCAGCTTTAGTCGGGTTGGCTGGAAGACAAATGTTCCCTCTCAGTGGACACGGTTCGAAGATGTCCAATGGATGAACCACTGGTCCATCTGGAGATGATTAGCTCTCCCTTAGGATGATGAAGAGCTGGTGCTGTTAACCCAAGGACACTCTTAGGCAATCACAAACAACTTCTGCTTCTCTCTTGTCAGTTCATGGTCCTCTCCTGTTTTTCTCAGCTTCACTCCAGGACACCATGCCTGTGGCATTGTAAGTGATCTACAGGATGAAGGCAGGTTTGCTCTCTTATAAGCACTTGAGTTTGCTCCTCTGTGCTCACAATGATGGCTGTTCCAGCTCAAGGACTGATAGGTGAGACAAACTCCAGCTGTAGGAGGGATAAAACCTCCAGCACAACTGTGGCTGACTTTGCCAGAACACCTCAGGAATCAGGGACTCATTTTTTCCAGCCCCACCCCACAGCCTGTCATTTGCCTACCGGAGATTTTCAGAGCTCCACTCCTGTTGACTCTCCAAATACATGCTTGGTCACGGGAACATTTTAATACAGTTGTCTTTGGGAGAGGGAGGCTTTGCAGCACTCTTCTGCTGGCCACTGGTCCTCTGAGGATCAGATACAGGTATCTGACTCCTCATAGGGTTCCCACCTTCCCAAAATATTTGCCAACTCTCCTTGAAGGGGGCAAGGTGAAGGCAACACCATAAACGTAAATGACCCAGAGAAACTCAATTACAATGAAACCTTGAAACCATCCTGCAATTTTGAAAATGCTGAGAAACTTCTGCAAGTTGTTCAGAAGGGGATTGCCTTCTCAACTCTCTCCCACCCTTAGGGTGACAAAACCTCGTGGCTTGCCACGGCCCTAGCTCAGAAGGCCGCCGGTGCTCCAGCCAGCGAGGGCTCTCCTGCAAGCTCCCTTGGGCCGCAAGCACATTCACTTGCCCAGAGCTCGGGCAGAGATCTTGAAAGATGATGTTACATTGCCGATCGTTCAAGATTTATTTATTTCAGCGTTTTGATCAGAAGAGCTGTGGGTCAGACACCCTGGCTGACGCCTTGTTCAGGACTCCCACCCTTCCTGCAGCTGCCCGAGGCCCAAGGCCCACGGCCAGGGAACGCCTTCCCTTGCCCCCGGCTGCACGAGGAGGGCGGCGGGCGTGCGGATGGGGGGAAGCCCAGGGGGCCATCGGGACCCGGCGGGGTGAAGGGGCGCGGACAGGTGCCGAGCCCGGCCCGGCCCTGCCACGGCCGCGAGCGGCGGGCGCAGCCGGGGAGGAGGAAGAGGAGGAGGAGGAGGAGAAGGAGGGCGGTGTTTTCCTGCGCGGCGCCGCGGCCGTCGCCCCGCCGCCGGCGAGCGTCAGGCGGGGGGGGGCCCGGCCCGGCCCTTCCCCTGGCCCCCGCGCCCCGAGGATGGCAGCGCTGCCCGCACGAGTGGCTGGCGGCGGTGTCCCTCCTCTTTTTTTTTCCGGCAGCGGCGGCGGCGGCGGCAGCGGCGGCGGATCATTGTTGTGTGGGAGGAGGGCGGCGGGGATGGACTTGATCTCTCGGGTCTCCTGCTAAGGCGGCAGCACAGCGCGCCCCGCCGCCCAGCCAGCGCCGCGCCGGGCAGGGAGGGACCGGACCGGGCCCCCGCCCGCTCCCCGGCTCTTTATTTTTAGGGGGCTCTGCTGCTCCTCTCCCTCTCCCTTATCTCCCCCCCACCCCCTCTCCGCCCGCACACACGCACAGGGACACGCACGCACCCTCCTCCGGTGCCCTTTCATCCTTCCCCCCGCCGTCCTCCCGCGCCGTCTCCTGCCGAGGCAGATGCGCCGCGGGTCACCGCGCAGCTGGGACTATGGTGAAATTTCCAGCGCTCACTAACTACTGGCCCCTGATCCGGTTCCTGGTCCCTCTCGGCATCACCAACATCGCCATCGACTTCGGGGAGCAGGTAAGGCAGCGCCTTTCCGGGGAGCAACCCTCTCCCTCCAGCCCGCCCTCCCTCAGCGCCCGGCTGGCGCGGTCGGTGCCTCCGCCGGGAAGGGAAGGGACGGAGAGCCGAGCCGAGCCGTGCCGAGCCGAGCTGTGCCGTGCCATCCTGCCCCGGCTCATCGCACCGGGCGGGGACTGCGGCCCCTGCGCCTGCGGGGACGGCGAGCGGCTGGTGCCGGCGTGCCTGCCCCGGCGGCCGCCCGAGACCACGGGCTGCCCCGCACCGCCAGGAGATGCCCGGGGAAGGATGGCAGGGTTTGGGTTGTTTTCAGGAATTTTTCCCGCTCGCATTTCAGGATTATATAATCTGAAATTACATAATGCATTGGCCGAGGGCTGGCAGTGGTTTATCCCCGCGCTGACACGGCCGCTCAGGTGCAGCAGCCCCTAGCGCAGTGCAGCGCGGCTCGGCGGCGGCTGGAGCGGGGCGCGGGGCGGGCGGCCCGGCTGCCGCTGCCGAAGGGAGCCGAGCCCCCCCGCCCCGCGGCGTGCCGCTGCCGCTGCGGTTCGGCCCCGGCGCCGAGAGCCCCCGGCGCAGCATGGCGGGAGGAGCGCGGCATCCCGCGGGGAGCCGCGCCGCACCCCGCCGGGCAGGTGAACCTCCGGCTGCACCCCTGCCCCCGCCGCGGTTCTGTGCGCCTCGGCACTGCTGCAGTTCTGTGTTGGTGACCTAAGGCTGTCCCCTGGCATGGGCACCGACGAGATAGCCCGGCGTATCCGAACCCGCCGTCAGCCTGTCTCCCTGACATGCAGCCACCCCATTTCGTCCTCCCAGTCCCCGCTTGCTGCGTTTGCACTGAGAACATGTCCAGGGCTTGACGTACCCACTCCCCTGCCCGAGCTAGTGCTCGTTTGCCCCTGCACTGGGGCGTGGGGGAATCTCTGCTCTCACGTTTTGGTATTTATGATAATCCAGGCCCTGTCTTGTGTTAGGCTGCACTATATGGGACCTGTCATTACATTTTTAGTAGGATGGCATACACTACTACTTACTTGCAAATGTTAAGTAGCCACACCAAATATTGCACCCCAAATAGCTTCATCCTTGTCCTAAGTTGCTCATTTTGGCTAAGAAGAATAGACACCTGCTCCTGTGCTTCTTGAGGAAAGATATCAGAAAAAATAGTGGGTACTTACAAGCATTTGTAAAGAAGAAAGCGAAATGAAAAATACTACAGTGGGAAAAAAATAGCTAACATTAATCATATGTTTGTCATGGCTGTGTCAATTGCATTTTGATTCCTAGTCCTTTAAATAAACTGCAATACTAAAAGATACAATTTCATCCTTGTCTAACAACTATGTGCTTTTGTACTAAGTCAGTCTTCTTTAAAACATACTGGGGGCAGGGGGCAGGAGAGGGAAGGGAAATCTAAATATAGAAATGACAAATGAAAATGAGATTTAAGTGCTAATAACTATGCCATGTTAATAACATATAGTAGAAGTTAAATTGAAAGCAGTGCACTCAGCAAACTGAGTATGACAGGTGCATTCATACGGTTTGCTTCGTACAAGGTCAGTTCAATTCAAGGTAAATGTCAGCCTATAAAAAAACATCCCCATGGCTTCAGTGTGCTCTGAACCAGGATTTCAAAATTTGCAAGAGATTTTATAAGCGAGGGTCCTTCTGTCTGGCTGGGTACCAGTGACACAGGAGCGATGTACATGAATGATACATGTAAACACTTTAACAACTTTGACAGTGTTAGGGACAAAAATATCTTAGAAAATTTGTTTTGTTTGATAGGCAAGTCATAGGATTGGATTTTCAGGAGAGTTGGGTTTATCCCTTGTCTCAGATGGCTGCCTGGGGAGATATTTAATTGAAAAGGGAGAAATCCAGCCTGCTAGAACTCTGGCTTCTCTCAGGAGCAGAAACTGGAAAGATAGTTTTTCTTACCAGCCTAAAGATAGTTTTTCTTACCAGCCTACATGGAAATCAGGAAACTGAAGCAGGGACAAAGCCACTCCATGTCTGAAGGGTTCGTCATACAGACAAAAGGACAGTGGTTTTATTTTCCTCTGTGTAATACATGAAGTTACTTTTTGCACTTGTCCGACATTACTGTTGGACTTGAGAGACTGAAAGTACATTGACTTGCTGAGCCATCCACCTTTCTGCTTTACATTTTCAAAAAATGCAATAATTTTAATGTGAGGGATGAATGGAAGCAACATAGAAGAATGGGTGTGCCAACAGATAGCTCTGCAAAGGCTGCAGTACCTCCTCCTTTGAATGTATACTGCAGATAACACAGATTTCTAAGAATGATAAGGGAAGAAAAATTTGCATTACTTGCTCTGGACAATACTGTAAAAGAGAAAGGAGAACTGCAGGTCAGAATAAGAGATGATTAAGGAGAGAATGGACTTTGCCTGACGAGGGAAGAAGAGATGTGTAAGAAATGCTGTAGGTCATAAACCCATTTGATGTGTGGTATTCATACATTGCTCCCTCAAGTGAGGAGAGTATTTGGAAGTAGAGCATTCAAAGCAGAGCCTTCTTAGCATAATCTTATACTATTAGATACCTCAGATTGAAAAGTGAGAAACAAAGATAATCACATCTTTTTTTTTCCTGTTAGCTTGAGAGACTTTTCTGGGTGTTGAGAAGTTGTAGTCAATAACAAACATCACTAGAAAATTACCAGATCCCTGGTATGCAGCTGCATCTAGGTTTCTTGCTAGGTTGAGGGAAATTTACAGTAAGGCTAAAGATTGTTTGCAGAACATAGGTTAAGGCTGTCACCATTGCCCCATATAAGATGCTTGGCATGGCAAGTCTGTTTAGTTTACAGGAAGTAAAAAATGCTGGCACAGTGCTTAAGAACTAATAAGCTCGGCTCCTGAAGTCACTTTCAGAACTGCTACAGCCAGTGAAGAGCCTCCTGTTGACCCTGGACTCTAATCCAACAATGCCTTAGGACAAGGCTATATTACAGAGTTGCTCCAATCTAGTGAGCTGACCTCAGTTCTTCACCTCATAAATTCTCTCAGACAAATACCTGATTTTTTCCCTCTGCTTCAAAAAGTAGTCCTGATGCATGACCAGGTAAATTACCAGAATATTAGAGAGATAAATAATTTCTAACTTACATTCTTGATTTCCTTCTGCAACCCATTTCCAGTTTATTGACAGTGCTACATGGCTTTTATGAAATTAAATACTACATACCTTCTTAAAAGTATGGCCTTCAGGAAAACAGTCACAAATCTTTTGGCTAAATATTCCTTCTCCACTCAAATCTGTGTCTCTGTGTGTCGGTAATATGTGTTCATGTGCATGCATCTATATTTATTTTTTTCTCCAGATGTATGCATGCACTCACAAATATACACAACACAGCATTTTCATCCCAAGAGTTTAACACCACCAGAAGAGAGATGGTCTCTTTTATTCTGCCATTGAGAGGAGCTTTCAACTTTCAACATCTTACCCTGAGATTCACAATAATTACTGTTGTATTTAGAGCTCAGTCGTTGGAAGGCAAAATTTGCATTAAAAGTTCTGTCTCCTTTGAAAAATGTTGGATGTACCTGCTTAGAAATAAATAAACAAATGCCTCCCGTGTGATGGAGAGCAACACAACCTCAAACAACTCAACCAGCAAATAACAGCATTGCTACTCCGTGGGCTCAAAAATCCGTCACCACCCACATCAGTTTTCCTTTTAACACAGTTCCAGAGCTGCTGACATATATTCTGGTGGCCTGACTTGTAACATAAATGTGCATTTGCATCAGCATCTTTACAAAGGGGGAAAGCTGAGGTGGGCATGAATTCACTAACTTTATCAGAAGCGCAGACTCAACCGTAGGCAGCACTAAATACAGTTTGCAAGCGTGGCTGGCAACTCTCTCTGATGCCCAGAGGATGGCAAAGGCCAGGCAGGGAGCAGTGTTCAATCTCAAGGTCTGTTTGCAGTAGTCCCTTAATTATCAATGGGAAGGGACACTAGTATGGTTTTTTGGTTTGAGGTTGTTTTTTTTTTTAACTTTTTAGCTATCATGTAGCCAGCCCCGGATCATTAGTTTGTGTCACTGTCAGTAGTTGTTGGCCAGGCTGTTTAGCATGCCAACATCACTTATGTGTGCATCCACGGTGTTCAGTGGCTTGTGAGGCATTGGAAACTGAAACCGAGCAAGCACAGCTCTGTTGCCTCTTTCTCCAAAAGGCACTCAGATGCTCTGGTCCCTGCAGAGAACTTGCCATACATTGCCCATGTTGTAGTGTTTGAGATCCAACAGATGGGCCATAAAGGAAATGCTAAGTGTTTTGGATTCCAAGTTATTTTGCAGTAATTGCTGGGGTTTTTTTTTGTATTTGATTGGGGTTTTTTGGACTGTTTATTTTCTTTTGTTTTGTTTTTTGGGGTTTTTTTTTGAAAGTTGCCAGAAAAGGAGAACAAGTCATGAATAATGTATCAAAAAGAATTAGTGAGCTTATTGTCTGCCCATGCCATTTGCAAACTTAGTAGGGGGTTAAACATTTTGATTAATGCCTTATGAAGCTTGGTTTTGGGGTAAGCATTATTGTCTGGACATTCAAAACAAGTAATGGGAGAGTTCACATTCCCAGCTGTTCACCAGGGATTTGTGCCAAGTTGTGTAACCTTTCCATGGCATAGTTTCCCTGCCTTTGAAGTGTGCTTAGACACCTACCTGTATGCAGATGTAATGAAAATTCATGTGTCAGAAGCACTCTGAATGATGAGATGAAAGGTGCTGTATGAGTGCAAAGTACTCCTGTTATTGATGTTGTAAGAGGTCAGGGACTTGTTTCAATTGTGTAGGACTTTAGTACCTTATAAACAAGACAGCCAACAGCGTCCTATAATTGGTGTACAACATGACTGTATATTATTACCACAACCACATTACTATTAGGATAGGCTGATAGAAATGTCCTATTTATTTTAAATGAATGTGAATTACACAGCTTTTTAAATTAAATTT